AGTGTGTCGTTCAACACGTATTTTCGAAGGAGAGTTCGTCGAGACGCATAATGCGTCTTGTGCCCGTCTTTATACTTGAGACGCTTAAACAGATGAACTACTAATATTTGCCCAAGTTCGTCCAGACGGACAATACGTCTTTAGTATAAAAACGGCCATAGACGCATTATCCGTCTTGACGAATAATGCGTCCTGAAGTATAAAAACGGCCGCTGACGTTTGGCTGGCAAGTACTCTTGAGTCGGCGAAGCTTACGTTAAATCAAATTGCCTCTGCACGCGTTATATTTTCAGTCTATATTTGTATATGGTTTTCTTAACACACACTCACACAATATTCAGTCGTCGCACGAAAAAAAAAACACTTGGAAAGCTAATCTTTTGGAAACCACGGAAAGGAAGGAGACGCCTTATTAAGACTGGGACCTAGATACTTCTTCTATCATTATTCGGGACACTGAATTCCACCCAGTGTGAGCATTACCCAGGGTGTGGCCACTGCACTTTCCTACCCATAATTCCACTCTAACCGCTCCTTGTGGAATGTTTTCACAGTACCCCTCAAATGACCGATGATGATACAGAAAAGCGTTCCCAGATGACCAGTCGTTGTAAACAGCAGCCTCAATCGTCATTGGTCCACTGCATTCGTTTCCATTGAACTTGAAATACCACCGGTTACACTTTTGATCACCATAAACCAATATGTTTCCCTGGAATGAGACTTTAAGCACTGTGTCGGATTTCAACTTGTTAAAAGCACAGTCCTTGAAAAAAAAAAAGCGATTAAAATGTCAGCAACTTTAATAACGCTAAATAACACAAAAAATAGTATATAAAATATCAGGAAGTGCACAGCAACAAACTAATGAGTGGTGGCGTATCTCTCGCAGTTAGAAAGGCTCGAGAAGCTCATTTAATATACAAAGGGAACACATTATTTCCTCTAGGAATAAATAGACGTGACGAAGCTCACTCAGTGATATATGATACCACCTAGTCTCCCATACCAAAATAATTCATTGTTTTTATTGTCACATTTTCAAATTCTTATTTGTAACGAATTTTTTGTTCTTTTTGTTCTTTTTTTTTTTCTTTTAGCCCCTGAAGAAGGTTTGTTTTCAAACCGAAATATTGAGCAGTTTGTTTAAATACATATTTTTTCCTATTATTCTTTTGTCTACTTCTTCATCGCCTTGCCGTAAGGATCAGTTTGCTGTTTCACATTTTTCTACAAAAATTAATGCCGGCCAGCTGGAGAAAGGTTGATTTAGGATGAAGGCTGAGACAATGAGGTTGGGATCATAGTTGTACTTTAAAGGTTTATCTCAGAAAACGGTTTTTCGACCTCTTTTCACTTATGAACACCATCTTTCTTACTTCATATATAGATTTAGCCAGGGCTAAAAGCGAAGCTCCCATTAATAAAGTTATAATTTAAATCAAACAATAAACTTGTAATCCACAAATCAGTTAACTTAAGGGCACACATGTGACTTTTTAGGGAAAGCTAAGGCTAAGTGATTTTAGAGTGAAAAAAAAATCTTACATCGAATTGATAGCCGTATATATACACCCAAAAAATAGCAATCATCTTCGATCACATTTAAGAGCCATAATGGCTCTTGATCACAGTAGATTAGGGCTGGGAAACGAATTCTTGGAAAACAAATCAAGCCGAGTTTTTTGCGTTCGACAAGTTTACTTAACAAAATCTTGCCAACAGCTCTGGGTGCGTGCAAACCAACATTTCATACTTTTTATACATCATGATATGAGGCGCTGTTTTTATCATACAGACCTCAGACAAAATGCAGTATTTCACAATTTTTCAAGGCAAATTGCACTCATTCAATATTCAGAACCGTACGAAGCACGCGTGGGCTTTTAGCAAAACCGTTCAAAAAATTTCCAAAATCACCTATACGGCCAGCCGGTTCTCACTTTTGACAAGCTCCAAATTTTCAGTGAACATTAAAAGAGTTACGCTTCAACATAATAAAGAATTTATTGCGTTTTTTTTTTTTTATTTCATTGTTTTATAACGATCTGTAATCTTAAAAAGCGTTTGATACGCGCGGCATTTTGAGTACTCCTGCAAGCGAAGAACGACTGAAAACAAACGGCAAAGTGATTAAAATTGCAAGAGACTACTAACAGTCAATAAAAGAAATGTAATTCGGTGAAACATTTACAGAGACAACAATTCTCATTCACGAAGACAAGTATTAAAGCGTCTCTAAAAATCCTGAGACTTTAAGCCGGCTTCCTGGTGTTTACTGTTTTCAAAGATGAACTCGAGACCAGAAAATCGCTCAAAGCTTTCTTTCTACAGCCAAAATTATAACTAAATACTCTTCGGAGCGTTTTTTCTTTCTATTTGCGGAGAGAAAATATCGACTAAAGGCTTTTTAAAGCTCTGTAACCTTATATCAAACCTCATACTAGATCAGATCATTGTCTCAGATCTTAATACAAACGTGCATAAACTGGCCTCATAAACTGCGCTCGACTTCATGAAATTAGATATAAAAAAAACAAACACATACACTGTATACAATAATTACTCAGGCTTACCATTCGAGATGCAGCTCCTGAAAGCTATCAAGTAAGGCCAGAATCGCTTGAGGGACTTTTCAACCCGCATCCAGCAAGGTGAAAAACGAAAACGATGTCATCCGAAGACAAGCGGCGTATTTCTCAACCAAAAATTCAATAAACAAACCAGCCATGAATAACAGAAGACTGTTGATAGCAGCTGTATTTCATTTTATGCATCCAGTGGAAAAAGACAGTAAAAAACATCACAAGTTGACAAAAAAACTGTCAGCTTCAGCTGTTAAAGTAAACAAGTTTCAAGATGCTGTATAAATTTTCTGCATGAACTCACCTGACAAATTTTGACCAATCAGAGCATAAAAATTGGACGGTCGTAGAGCGTGATCAACGCGCGACTATGGTGAGAAAAGTAAAAAGCCTCTGTCTTCCCTGCTTGTACTTTTAAATGACTGGATTAATTTTGGCGTCCGAGATCAGTTTGAAATCAAAATGTAAAGCGCAGGGTAATACTGACATTAACACAACACTTCCTGTCATCATGTTATTATTTTGCTGCCGTTCTCTTTGCCTTTGTATTTCTCTTTCGCGTTGCTTTGTCTATTCATTCTAGCTCTGTCTCGTTCTGCTTGCCGGCGCTTTTCACTATAATTATCTCTCCTTCTTTTCGCCCTAACTCTTTCTACTTGCCGACTTTCTTCGATAAAATTTTGTCTTCTTCTTCTACTTCTAACGCGCTCTCTTTGGCGATAGTCTTCGCTTGCACTACGCGTGTTGACTCTTGCTCTCTGCCGCTCACCTTCTCTTCGCTCTCTGCTTAAAACCTGTCGTCTACACGCTAAAATCTCTCTGCTGTTGAGAGCTCTGTACCAAGTCGAAAAATCCTTTTGGTGTGTTGCTTTGAAATTTCTTTTTTCAAAACCAGTTGCGCGATATAATTGCGCGACGTTGCGCGATGCCATTTCCCGCCAAAAAAATCTCTACTTTCCCCTACCCCAAGAGTCCGTGCGGACTACTTTCCACTACCCGGAAAGTCCGTAGGGACGGACGTACGCTGACGTCATAACCAAAATTTTTCGGATGGATAGTTTACCAGATTATCTTAGTAATGGTGCTCCGCTATAAATAGTTCGTGTTTAGCTTTTAGCGCGTTTCTTGTTTACCTTAATCTTTCCGTTATCAGTACCGCTAGCTGATTTCCACACACATTGTTTCCAGTTGGTTTGTGGTACTACACTTGCTTGACTTGCTTTGGCGCTTTCTCCTTTCTCTCCTTTGTCTCCTTTTCTTCCTTGATTTCCCACAATGCCTGGCTCTCCTTTCATTCCCACAGGCCCCGATTCACCTTTCATTCCCATATTTCCTGGCGGTCCGCTCTTCCCGGGAGGTCCTTCGCGCCCTCTGTCTCCTCTTAGACCCTGCACTCCTTGCGATCCCTTATCACCAATTTGTCCTTTTGGACCTTCTCTTCCCTGGGGTTCCTGCGGCCCAGGCACGCCTGGCATTCCCGGCATGCCATTTGACCCTGGTATGCCTGGAAAACCATGACTCAGTACAGATTTCTGAAAGTAAGGATGTGTAATTAAAAGAAGAACCATAGCCTTTTGTAGCAGTAAACGGAGGTAATGTATTTAGAGAGTAATTGCAGTCTGTCTTTGAGGCAAAGCGGGAATGAAAGCGTACATATTCAGTTTGTAGTGAAGAACGGCGGGAATTTTTAATCAAAATTCATGAAAACCTATAATAATCCATGTGAAACCGGAAGTTTAATAAATAACCAAGCAGGAATTTTATATCAAGGATTATTTTAGCAAGGCTACTTATATTGATAAACTGAAACGAAAAATGGCACATTAAAATGCTTAAATTGCATTATCTGACTCTGCGAGCTGACGGAGGACGGGACATTTACCCTCTCTTTTCGTTCCCATTTCCGGGGATTTGACAGCTCAAGAGTCCCAACCCCCGGGAATTTGCCATACAAGTCAATAAAAAATGCTAATGCCTGGGCGCAGCTGGAATTGACTGATTCATAACCAAATACAACGATAACAATCATAGCAATGATATATATAATAATAAAGGTAAATTAATGATATTTTTTTTACAACCAAAAAAATCTTAAAAGCTAGGGATATTTTAAGATAGTGTATAGTGGAAAGAGAAATTCCTTTTTAAAACAAAGTTCATTCACATTTCTTTCGCTGCTTGCCTTCTTATCAATACAACCCTAAAAAGGAAAGCTCCACCCTCAATTTAACTGACACGACACAGCCGTCAATCGACAGCTGTCTATTACTCAGAAACTGCGAAATAAATTGTCTAAAACTGGGTAGATCCGAACAAATCCGTGAGACTAACCTTTCGGGGCAAATCTTGAAACGCAGACTTAACAACAGAAAAGTTGAGGTTTACGTTATTTATCAACTCAATAATAATTCGTGAAGCTCAGAAAAAGCACGGTGCCGTCAATCGATACCTGTCTATTACTCAGAAACTTCGAAATAAATTGTCTAAAACTGGGTAGATCCGAACAAATCCATGAGACCAACCATTTTTCACTACCCAAAACACAAAAATATCAGCTAAAACAGAATAATTGTTTCATACCTCGCATAAATCTTTTAACTTTGAGGTGTTTTGTTGCTGAGGTGAGGTTGTTGTTCCCAGTGAACCGCCAGAAAGGGAGAAAACCAAGAAAACAGCGAAATGCTGAACCATTATTAAAACTCAACCAGAACACTGCGATTACTGAAAACCAGTGCTACGTGCTCATCAGTTAAATAGCAAATATTTGTTTTGATCCTGTTTTAATGTTGCTGGCTACCCTTATTTTATTTCCTTTTATGGTAGAAATATTTGTTTGTTTTCGTTCTCGAACAAGCTTCCCTTTTCAAGATAGTCGTTATACGTGCAGTTATAGTTTTAGTTTGCAGTTATATAATATTATATTTAAATCACTAGATTATTTACCTCATATCTTTTACTTACCATATCAATTACCTGTGCACGTTTCCTTTGCGTTCGATTTTTCCTTTGCAGTAACCACTTTAACTCGGCCTCATTATACGTTTGCACTATTCAGAACTTGGACATTGTACTGAAACAAATGCGTAATTTTAACCATATTATGGTAGTAGTAACTTTGTTATGTGCACGATACATGTTGCCTAATTTTTCTTGATGGTGGCCTGTTTTCTTTTTTAGTTCTAATCCACAAAAAATTTAGGGTTGTAACCTCTTAAAAGCACCCCCTTCCAGGTGGTTGGTGCTTATTATTAAATTACAATTTTAACTCAGTGCCAGCCACGCAAGTACCAACCTGAAAAAGTTCATTAGCTATATTCTTTGAAGATTCTGTTGCTAAGCATTTATCATTAGTAAGGAAGTCTTAGCAAAGAGAGAAAACGGATAAATAGCAACAAAACCAGTGAAAATCAAATGTCATGTCAAGGCAAAATCATATTATGCTATTTATGTCGATACAATGTAATATGTCTTTGTTGTCTAGCTCCATAGTTGGTCATCCGATCCATGTCAGCCTAACTTCTCTTTCAAGAGGCAATCAATTTCATCGCTGTATTAAAGGAGCGTACAACTGTATACATTCCTGCATTCGCTCCCTCTTGTTTTCACCCTCCCCTCTGTCCCTCTTTGCCATTTGTTGGGAGAACTTCTGTGCGATTATGATTTAGTTTTGATTCTGGGCGAATTTTTAGCCCCACCATTGCTGAAAATAACTAGTTGTTTAGTATTATCGCTGTTAATTTAAATGCGTCTTTGTTTGACCGTCAGTTAAACTGCCACTCAGACAAGCGGCCAGTTAATGCCATCACTCGAGTGTCATCTCTGTTGTGACTTCGATGAGAACTTCAGTGAAAGCTACCCAAATTCCTAGCTAGAGAATCGGCATAAATACTTCCCCTTGATAAGGACAGAAGCGTTTTTCCGCATCTAGCTACTGTCTAATATCACTGCCATGCCCGTTTCTTGAGTACAAACAGCAAAGCTTAAATGAGATTTCATCTTTGTTTTTTGTTAACGTGCACGTAAGCAGAGTTTAGTAATTTAATTACAAGAGCATTAAGACTTTGATAGCTCTGATAGCTGTTTTTTCTTGTTTTTTTTTTTTTACAGGAAGTTTCTCTTTGCTAACACGCCAAAAATGTCAAGTCTTGACCTTCTCATCATGATTCCCCTGCTAAGTACTTAGATCGTGTTTCTAAACAAGCTCGAACTTGGCTGTTGTTGCTTTGTTTTAAAACTCAGAGATAATAAGGACCAACAAACTGAGAAAGAAAAGAAACAGAATTCCAGATTTTTTTCCCTTTGTCTTTCTTTCTGTACGTTTTTAATCATATTAAATGGAAATAATTTCAGCTCGTCCAGGAAATTTAACTGTGAGTAGAATTTTGCAAAAAATAAGCTTTAGCCAAAGGTTTTTACAGTTTCTCTAGAAAAGGAATACTAATAGTGTTTAATTTTACCGCTGACAAGCTGCTTTGGTTCTTTTTTTCGTCGATCAAAAATCCGCTCCAAACGGGCTTTCTTCTTTCTCATTACCATTTAAATACGCGTGAATTTCTTGCACTTTCCTTTTTCATAAACAAGAAAGTGAATTTAAAGTGAAAAGTCCATAAGCAAAGATTAGATAGCCCTCCATTACACCAAGGCCTCCCTGACAAGGTTAGCGCGCTTACTCCTGGATTATTTGTATACCCTTTCCTACCTTGCCTTTTTTGTTTCTTGGTTTGTTTGTTTTTGTGGGTTTTTCTTCTGTTTGGCTTCCCTTTTCCTTTTTTCTTTTCACCATGAAAATTCAACAACAATGCCTTTTTTAAGGCGACGAGTCAGTTTTAATTATAGGACACTAGTACCAATTCAGAGTTAGAATTCTCTCTTGCCACACTGCAGGCCCGGGTTCGATTACCGGCCAGTGCATCTATTTTTAAAGTTTAATGTGGATTAAAAAAATAAATCATAATAATAATACTAATGATAATGACAGAAATGATTGTTATCGTCCAGTTATTTAGCTAATTTAGTTATAACAAGACGTATAGAACACAGATTGGGAGATCCGATGTACACTACAGGAAGTAGGACAGTTGTTTTCGGCTTTTGCTTATCGCGTGTTTATGCAATCCCCCTCTACTATACTTGTGCTCTAATAAAATTATTGATCGGTATTCTCTTCTCCATCTTCAGTGCATCTTTGCAACTTTTCAATATACCATGACGTAACCACTGAAGGCAGCAAAAAATAAAGCAGTTTAATCTGTTTGCATTCAAGTATTTTGGATCAGTTCTGGATGGCTGGTTTGATAGGATGGTTCTGACAAAAAAACACATTAGTTCGAAGAATCTGTCGTGTGTTACTTATCATTTTCTTGGTTTACTTATTTTCTTGTGTCTTCGAGTCCTCTTATTTACAGCACGCTTCAGATAAAAGTTCCTAGAAACCCCTTAGTTAAACATTTTCCCTTTTCCATTTGAAGTGGAGTTATTTAAACAAAAAAGAAGTTAAGAATTAGTAGCTTTCTGTTGCTCTAAGGTCACTGTTTAAAGTGTTTAGCAGAAACAGGTCACCCTTATTTTCATGGAATTTTATCACATTTTATCAAGAGTAAAGAGATATTTGAGGTGAGTTGGCTGTTCCCAGCGAATTCGCAGAAAAACATACATCAATAGGAGAGCGAAATGCTGCAGAAGTGTTTTGTGATCCGTGCTTTCTGCTCTTTTATTGGATAGCGAATATTGCTCAACTGCTGATTTGAAATTTTTAAGGCAGTAATATTTTTGTCGTTACTAATTTGGTCCTTGTTCCTATTTCTTTCTCGAACAACTAAATATTTAATGCAGCCACCTACTAAATAATATCCGGCCCTTTTAAGTGGATAATCAGTACGTGTGAGTAGTCAACTAAAATTTTGGTCAAGCTCCAGCTAAACAAGCCCAAAACATAGGTTGGGTTTCTATTTTTAATCTTTACACCATCAGATAATTTTCCCACTGACCCATGGACACGCACGTTTTGTTTGTTCGGACCAAATGACTAAAAAAATGCGTAGTTTAAATAAAAGAGAATTTTAAGACCTCAATACCATATTGCGTGTAAGATAGTTGTTGCTTCGTTTTTATTGATTTCTGATTATGCTTTGTTCGAGTTTGTTCTCTTTTTAACATGCCAACAATTCAAGATGACCTCAGTTAAATGTTTATGGTGTATCTACTTCTGCAAGGTCGGTGGTGTTAAGTATTAAATTAGAATTTTGATTCAGGGCCAGCAAGCCATGCCAAGTCCTTTAGATTGTTTTCTTTGATCATGATTTTAAGGTAATCGGTGTTTATATTTTACATTCCTTGAAGTTGATCTGTTCTGGTTCTTTTCTGTTGTTCAAATGTTTACGTTATTAGTATCGAGTTCTGCTCTACGCAAGGATAGAAAACAGAGTGAATAACAAAACAAGCGAAATACGGATACTCTTAAGCCGGCGATGTTTACGCTGAATAAAATGGCCTCCGCACGCGTTATATTTTTCTATATTTGTATATGAATTTCTTAACACACACGCACACAACATTCATTCCGCGCACAAAAAAAAAAAAAAAAAAAAAAAAGGAAAAACCACTTGGAAGGACAAACTTTTTAAACTTGTTTTAGAAGCTAAGGAAAGGAGGGAGACGCTCTTATTAGGACTGTGACCTAGATACTTCTTCTATCATTATCCGGGACACTGACTCCCATCCGGTGTAAGCATCACCCAGGGTCCAGCTACTACACTGTCCTACCCATAATTCCACTCTAACCGCGCCTTGTGGAATGTTTTCACAGTACCCCTCAAATGACCGATGATGATGCAGATTAGGGTTCCCAGATGACCAGTGGCTGTAAACAACAGCCTCAATCGTCATTTATCCACTGCATTCGTTTCCATTAAATTTGAAATACCACCGATTACACTTATCATCACCATGAACCCTCACGGTTCCGTGAAATGAGACTTGAAGCGCCGCATCCGACTTCAACTTTTTAAAAGCACAGTCTTGGAAAGAAAGAAAAATGGTTTAAAAGGCTGCAACTCTAGTAATGCTGAATAACGCGGGAAGTTAATTAACGGGAATGAAGGCTGAGAGGAGGAAGAGATTAATAACCTTATTGCTGTTAAATTACTTTTATCTCAGCAAAATTTTGAATTTTTAAACTCATTCTGCCGATTGAGATCATCTACCTCACTCTCGAGAGTCTACTTAAAGCGCGTTTCTTGTTTACCTTGATCTTTCCGTTATCAGTACCGCTGTCTGATTTTCACACACATTGTTTGCAGTTGGTTTGTGGTACTACACTTGCTTGACTTACTTTGATGCTTTCTCCTTTCTCTTCCTTGATTTCTCACAATGCTTCGCTCTCCTCTCATTCCCACAAGTCCAGGTTCCCCTTTTATTCCCAAAATTGTTGGTGGTCCGCTCCTCCCAGGAGGCCCTACGCGCCCTCTGTCTCCCCTGGGACCCGGCATTCCTGGTGATCCCCTTTCACCGATCTTCCCTTTTGGACCTTCTCTACCCTAGGGTCCTTGCGATCCCGGCATGCCTGGCATTCCCGGCAAGATATTTGATCCTGGAATGCCAGGAAAACCATGACCGAGTATAGTACAAATTTCTGAAAATAAAGATGAATTGTCAGTTACGTGAAGAGCTGAGAGAGAAGTGTATAATAAATACAATAACCCCGTAAAGCGTTTATGTTAACTTTGAAAACCCTTTTGAATGGAATTAAATTGACAGAGATTTTGCAGTCTCCCTTGTTTTGGAGGCGAAACTGAAAACTGAAACTGCTTAAACCAAGGGCTAGACTAAATGAAAAGAAGAAGAGAGAGAAAACAAAAAACAAAAAAAAAAAACAGGCAGTGAGACTAAAAGTTGAAAGGGGATTGTGAAAATTTAGACGTGTTAAACTACAGTAAAGATTTGGCTTACGCAATATATTCACTAAAAAAATAGGCGCAGAGAGATCAAGATGGGCTATCACAAAGCTAGCACTTTGAATGTTGCTTTAATCTTCGAACCAAGAAATGTCAACTAAAGCAAAATAAAAATTCGATACTTCGCATAAATCTTTTATCTCGTTTTTTTTGTTGCTGAGGTGAGCTGGTTGCTCCTTGTGAACCTCCAGAAGTACAGAGAATCAGGAAAACAGCGAAATAATGAACCATGCTGAGAGCTGAACCAGAGCCCTATGAACTGAGATCAGTGCTACGTGCGACGTTCTTGTTAAAGTGGGCCGTTATACGTGCAAGTATTATTTCTATTCAATTTATCTGTTAATCACGACATCCTTTAATCCTCGAATGTGTGAAAATGCATGCACTGTTTTCTTTTCTATCTTTAACACCCTTAAAGATTTGAGGTTGCAACCTCTAAGAAGTGTCTGTTTCCAATTCTTTAGATTGTTCCCATTTCTCATTTTCCCTTTCCCCGTTACCCGATTCCCCTGCTTGCTCCCGCTCCCCACTATCCGTTTTATTGACATTTGTATATGTTGGTTTCCTGTAGGCGCTAATCATAATCACTTTCCACCGAGGTGGGCTAGGTCAAGAGTTGCAAATCCAATAATAAGGATGTCATAAATATGGCACATTTCTGAGCATTTCTTAGGCGGAGTCGAACAATGGCGTTTTCTAATTTTAACAAGAAGGGACGAATTTTTCTTGGCGGAAGGATAATCAATGAAAGTTCTTTCGGTTTCAGCCTCTTTAAGCTTTAAAACTATCAATCCTGAACAATTTGCAATGAGAAAGGAATGCGATCACGTGAATTCATAACCACGTGACTCAACATGGTAACATAGGGTAAAAATCAACTGACACTTGCGTATCTATGAATTCAAGAAAAAAAGGTGGCCTTAGGTTGCAAGGCATTTTACAACTTTAGCAACAAATGCTTGTCAAAAAATGCTCCTCTTTGTCCCGGTCGATCAGCGGACGGGGGTTGTGGGGCGTACATGTAGGGTTACATTGATAGGAGCATTACTGAAAAGGGGTCAGGTAGCTGATGGACAATTTGAAAATACACTAAGTTGTTTTCACAGGATTTGAGGGTGATGAAAAGTTACAATTGAAGTCGCCATCATACTGAAGTATCTCTAACAAGATAGTAGACTTAATGATAGATTATTTTTTCTACAGTGTTATGCGAATTAAATATATTCAACTATAATGACCCTTTACTCGAGTGCTCTTATTTGCTTTTTCTTTTTCGAGGGTTTAATAAATGAACTTCGATTAGCTCTGATATTCTTAAAGCACAAAAAGGGCAGAAAGGGAAAAGTGAAACAAAAATAAACCTCACTCTTTTTGACAATTTTCTCATGATTTGCTCCAAACTTAAGGGGGTGTGGCTAAAGCAAACACAAATAAAGTTTCGTTACAGGTATAAAACTCAAATTTGGTATGGACAAAACATATTAATAAGACAATACATTAATTAGGCTGCCTGTTATAGTCACTAAAACACGTGCTCTCCAATTTCTTTTTAAGTGCGCATGCTCAAAACCTGTGCGTGCAAGATCACGTGATATGTCAATGGTGACGAAAACAGAATAAACTCCTTCGTATTGACAAAGTCTGAGCAATTTTCTCAGCTTGTTCTCGCACGTTTTCTTTTAAAAGCCTACTGGCTGTGCATCACCTCATAATAAAGATGTTAACCATGTTCAGCCCCCTTAAGTGAAAGAAAAAAATGTCAGTTACTCTTCATTGAAATACTAAACAGAAAAGAGGAAATTAATCATCATCAATGATTCAACAAGGCACTGGTGGTTCAGTGGCAGAATTCTCGCTTGCCACGCCGGAGACCTGGGTTCGATTCCCGGCCAGTGCATTCCTTTTTGATATAGAGAAATAAAATATACCTGGAGTTTTGAAAACCGGGTTAGCAAAAATATCAACTCATTCTACTATTTGGCAATTTAAAACAATAAAATTCATTCAAAGGCCGATTAAGGGCCTGTTTACATGATGGTGGGGGACCCCAGGTAGGTGAGGTAACCCGCGTAGGTGGGGTAACCCGCCTGTCCATACAACCTCTCATTTTAATGTGATCACGTTTACATGTTAGGTGGGCTAACCCACCACATGTTACCTCACCTACCCGGGGTCCCCCACCCTCATGTAAACAAGTCCTAAAAGCCTTTATCTGACGCCGGGCAGCGAAATAGTTCCTGGTTAAGGCTTAACAACTTAAATAGTTAGCAAAACACTACTTTTTTTGGCGGTTCCATAAACAACAGGATTCATCATGGAATGGACAACAAACTGAATGAAACGTAGTGCACAAATCATCACTTTCTTATCTGCAAAAATCGGCCTATGCTTCAATGCCATTAGAGCCCGGTGAAACTAGACCTAGATCCAATTTTCCTGAGTCGAGAGTCGCTTTTCCAAGGTACAATCAGCTAAGCGAAATACTGACGAAACAAAATTAATGGCTGGAACAGAATATTTCGGCCAAACCGCAGTTCAACCACGTGATCACATACCTGTCAACACCATGCGGATATCACTCAATTTCACACTTTCGCGGCACTGATAAGACTATCCGCAACCACGCATAATCTTCTCACGCTTAACATAAGCGAAATATCATCGAATAACTCGCAAAAACTCAGCGTATTGCCAGATAAACACCTCTGGACTTTTCTCTTACACTCGTCTTACCGTAAATCTTCTATTAAGCCCCCCTCTCAAATAAGCCCCCTCTCTCTAATAAGCCCCCCTTTTCAGAGGAGGAACGTTAATAAGCCCCTCCTCTCTATTGAGCCCCCTCCTCCCCTCCCCAATCCTTATTCTTCAAAAAAAAGAAGAATTAACGATTAACGTGGACTGATCAGTTATGGTTTATTCATAAAAATTACCGAAGAACATGAGGCCGAAAGCACATTTTTGAAGAATAAGAATTTTGTTTTTGTTACTTTTAGGCTCCCACAAGTGAATTAAATACTTTTGACAGTGACTTTAATTGTACAACGCGTAAGTCTACTCTGTCTCATACCACGGTATTTTTGCTACGGTATTCAAGTTCCCGGATGTAGAGTCACTCGGTCGGCGGATCACCTTAGCCTTGTTTTCACACCAGAAAAAAACGACGTCTTGGCCCGGGTCAAAGTTCACCTGCAATTTTGCTCTCACCTAATTCAATTGACTCCTAAGAGCCTGTTCCCGCGGCCAAAGACTTACGGTCACCTTAGAAAAGCGAACAATATCGTACCTTTCTCTCTCAGCCCGGATCAGGGTGATTGATCCGTTTAGCCAAATGAAACGAGAATATAATACGATATTGGACGATGCAGACTCTGCAAATCGCAATAACTTTGATGCTCTCTGGGAAACTTTTCTCAAGGTGACCAATATGTAAAAGTAAACTGCTAAACGGCACCGAAACCAGCTTTAGGTGCGCACTGATTTCAAATAACTGTCACTTGTGTTAAACAAGGAATTGTGGGTAGGGAAAAACATGGGGAGGGGTGGGGGGAGATAAGATAGTAATTCTGTCTACATCCACTTCTACACAAATCACTAACCACAAAACAAGCAAAAAAAAAAAGCAAACAAACAAACAAACGACATAAGCAAACAGCACAGTAAACAAGCTATCAGACAGGGGAAGTTGAGAAAAATTACAAGATATTTGCTAACCCGGTTTTCATAACTCCAGGTAGAGATACAATGAAAATGACATGAAATGTAACGAGAAAGGATGAGCTCTCTCTTGAATGTAATTAAGGCAAATGAGCGAGAAAGGAGTAAAGTGGTTGTTTTGGTATTCGCCATTTACACATCTTCCCTAAAACACCTTGTTCACCCTCCCCCCCCCCCCTTTCTATGTCCCCGCTATAATGCAAGGGAAGTGCTATTTCGCATCTGCCGTGCAAAGGCTTAGCAATTCGAACCAAAAGTTTTAATTTACAAGAATGGTGATAATGCTATGAAAACCTTTTCACACTAATGGATTTCTTAAGTTAGAAACAACATTTGGATCTTTACGGCTCAGTGCGTAACGAGAGACACTGGGCTTTAGTTTTTTATGTTCGGTTCTTCAGTCTGGAGAAAACGTTTCTTTAACTGAGTAAAATATTCCGTTTTAGGTAAAAAAATTCCCTCTCAGCCGGTGTTTATGACAGTTGTTGTTCACTGTGTTTTAAATTTAGCATTACTTTTCAAACCATATTTATATACTGAAAGTTAAATGGTTTTGAAGCCGTGTCTTTGTTGTGACTTTGCTAGCTGGTCTGATTTGACCGTGCACTTATTAGACTACATGTATAGGTAGCTTTTACACTTGTCGCCCTGGGCATGTTATTCTCCCGTTGGCACTAATGAGAAAATACCCTTTTTTTATTACCCACGCCTAAGATTCGAGCACGGTCGCCACGGGGGCAAACATGGATGAAGCCAAGAGACCTTGTATTCGGTCTCTTCGCTTCTTTTACCTTTGAGCATACGTATCCTGTTAGGTCCGACGTATACTCACACCTTCCGTTTACGCTCACGGTTAAAAAAAAAAAAGAAGAAGAACAAGAACAAGAAGAAGAAAACAGAAAGAAAAAGCAGTCAAACAAACCTAAGAAAAAACAAAAAGTAGGGAAGAATAATCGGGTACACTAGACACGACACCAATTTTTGCTCAGGCACTAGTGCTCGATCACAGTGTGTCCATAGCCTTTGGTCAAAAGAAACGTCGCGTTCTATGGGGAGCTTACGAATGGACGACTTTCGCACGACGCCGCCGCTGGGTCACGTCATAGCTCTGCGTTGCCGTCTTTTAGAAATTTGAATTTACGATTCGTAGTAAAGACGACGACGTTGGTGCGCGAGGCTGGCAAATTCTCCCGCCGTTTCTGAAGTTTGTTTTCTTCTTTTCACAAGTACGCTTGTTTGTTCAACCAAAATGTCTAGACTCACAAGAGAAACGAGAGCTCGTATTGCAGACACTTATGGAAATATACTTATAAAGGACCGAGTATTTCACTGTATACTTTTATGCGTTTCGTCAACAAACTCAGAGTTAACTACGCATTTAGACGAGACAACAAAGGACGAATGCAAGGCCCGTTTATATACAGGGAGGGCATTTATAAACTTGCTGAACAGCTGTAGTTCCTGTGATGAGATAACCACTTGCAATGGTCTAGTTGTAGCTTTGGTGCCATCTTGCCAATATGGTTTCACTCGGTGTTAATTTATGTTTGATTCTTCGGGTCATTACTCTAATGAAAACAGACGAACAAATCGAAAACATATGTAAAGAACATGTCGCTAATGTTATACTTTAATTATCTGGAAAAATCCGCTGAAGTATGTAGGGAAAACTTTGAAAATTAGTCTCACGTCCTGCTTTTTCTAGGACGCCGGCGAATCGTTGTCAACAACGGCGTCGACTTTGGCGCGACGCCGGCGAGTGCCCAGATAAGCATGCGCAATGAGCCGCTCACGCAGTCCAACGGCGTCGTCGTGCGAAAGTCGTCAATTTGTAAGCTCCCCACAATAAACGGTTGTTTTTATCCGGTTGGTTTTATACCAGCTTTCAAAACCAGTCTCTTTACTATACCTTTCTACAAATATATTGTATATTCCCTTGGGTACTTAACTTATACTTTTCAAATGTTAAAATCGTTTCTGTTTTTGATTTAGACAAGGATTCTTTCCCCCTCATATTCCTTTCAACGCAACCATATACCATAAGGTGAAAAACTAAATCAGAAAAATGAAATTAAAGTCACTTTTTGAGATGGCTGGGATGATTCTCATCAAAACAGATACGCTCGAAGAAGCTGTCGTGAGAAACTTTTTTGTTTAAATTGTTTGTTGTTGTGTGTGTGTTTTGTTTTGTTTTGTTTTGTTTTTTTCTGGTTAGCTAATTATTAAAGCAATAGAATTTTTTTTCCGTGTTGACATAGCCTGATAAAAAAACAAGAGAGCGGTTGGGAGAATTCGAGTGAGTTATGCAAACCCGAGACGAAGTCGAGGGTTTGCACAACTGTCGAGAATTCTCCCAACCTCTCGAATGTCTATATCAGGCTATGCAATTACAGGAAATAAGTTTTCTATTGCTTTTGTAAATTAAATTCACCGAGAAAAACACACGGAGGAGAAACTCCTTCTAACATTTTTTTTGTAAAAGTAAAGAACAGTTAAAGATAAGGAAAGGGAAAACTTGGTCACGCGGTACAAATTCACGTTTGCTGTAAACGTGATTCTACATCTGATCTCTAATTGATCAGTGGTTGACGATAACTAAGTCCTGGTTTCCTAACCATTAAGTGTTTGCTCTAATCTCCCTTCTTCCCACTTTTTTCTTCGATTAAAGATACACCCACCTCGATCGCTTCAGGTTAGTTTATAATGTACGTTCAGAGTTCTTAAAATTTAATTCATTTCACGGTTTTAATTGTATATACGGGGAACTAAAACTATCTGTCTGCATTAGTTTGAGTGTCAAAATGTAATCATTCCATTTTTCTACAAAAGTTCGATCAACAAAATTCTTAGTTCTTAGCTTACGCGAAAATATAACACAAGATTTTTAAACACTTTTCAATAATCGATATATTTTTTTTCACTTAAACTATTAGTCTAAGACCTATTATTTGACCCAAGTTCAAAAGTTTAAGTGAAAGGTCGATCTTATTAGGTATAAGATAACCCTGGATAACGTAAACTTGTTGTTCCGGACACTATTCAATTTTCATCCATATATAACTTTTGAAATTTGACAATGCGAATTACACGCGCATAAATGATATGCAGAATATTAACAGTATAAGCTTTGGGCCACTGCTCGTTAAAACGCTCTTTACAGGGGCGGATCTGGGGGAGGGTGCAGGGTGCGCACCCCCTGAGATGACCTGCGGTTTTCTAATACAACTGGTATTCTGCCCCCCCCAAAAAAAAAAAAAAAAAAAAACTATGTGGTTTACTGGTGTTGAGGTAGAGCAAGAGACGAGTGCATCCCCTCCTAAAAAAAAAAATCCTAGACCCGCCCCTGCTTTAAGATCGCCCCACCGAAATTCTAATGAGAGCAGAAGGCGGAAGAAGCCGCGATCTTCAAATAAAATGAGAATTGAGATCCCTGATGACTGTGATTCAGTTCTTAGCCCCTTCTTGATTAACAGGTGAGGTTAGTGACACGTAAAAAATCGTTTTATAACCAACGCCTAGAACGTGGAATTTGTCAAAATTTGTAAGTGAAAAGGGATCCTACCCCACCCCCACCTCCCTCCTTTGCTACCCTCTATATACTTATGTTCGTCCCCTGAAGGTTGATGTCTTTCGTTGTTCCTCTGTTTTTGAGGTGTAGTTACTTTAGTTGAACAGCGCACGCAGGGAGAGAAGCAGAGAACTAACAAAATAATCAAAATAATGTACCGACAAAACGACTGAAATATTATTATGCGTTAAATGCTATATACATAATCTCACTTCTTAAAAGCGAATATCAGTTAATAGTTAATATTCTCTTTCTTTTTTTACTTTCTTATCATTAGTTCGTAAAGGTCAGTTTCTATTCACGTGCAGGCTAGCCGGGTGCCGAAAAAGACGATTACATAGAGTTTAGTTAATAAGTACCTGATTTACCATAAAAGAAACATCAAACTTTTGCTTTGTGTTTTGTCTTTTGAATGTTCTTTATCACTTTTTCGCTCTCCGCCACCACACAAAAATAATCTACGTTGGGGTCTTCTTATGCCATAGCTCCAGAATGCCTTTTCGAAATCCCTTGGATGAAACTGGTTTGAAAAAAAAGAAAAACAAAAACAATCTCTAGCACCCACTCTGGTAACCTTCCCAAAGTTCCCCTGCTATTTTATAGCCTGCGTAACAGATCAAATTTGGGCATGTGACAACGAATAGGGCGCGAAAGAAGAATATGTTTCTAAAATTTCATCACATTCTTAGCACGTTGACCAGCTACTTTTCAGGAAATTAGTTCGCCCTCCTCCCCCTAAAGACAGCTGGACGCAGTGGATTTTCTGAAGTCGATTTTCACCAATCAGATCTTTGCCAACACAAATCGAGCGATAGAATAGATTATTTTTTCTTCTCATTTGGCTTCGGTAGAAGTAACGAAGACAACATGTGTATATATATATTTTTTTTTTACTAAAAGTCTAATGTACATTTGAAGCAAACGCACTAACACAATTAAAAAAGAACAGTAACAAAGACTCTCTATTACAAGAAAGAGAGAAACGAAAAGTCCCATTTCTTTCAACTGATACAACTGTAAATAGAAGAATACTCAAGTTATGTTTACTAGCGGGCAGTGTTTCTTTCTTTTTTTTTTTTTTTTTTTTTTTTTTTTTTTTTTTTGCGTGACCTGGAAATGGTCTATCACCCGGACAACGACTATGGAAAAGTTCAGGTTTCCTACTCCTCTTTTGATCTTATTTCCTTTCTTCCCAATTTTTCTTTCGATATGGTGATTAAAGCTACATCTCCTATATCGATCAACACATCAGCCACCCGTGGTTATTTCAAATTCAAAATTCTGGTTTAAACTTTGTGTGCAGGGAACTAACACTGCGTGTCTAAATGCGTCTTATTAAAATAGTTTAAGTACCAAAATGTTATCTTATTTTTCAAGAAAAGTATGATGTAGAAAAATTTCTAAAGGAAGCCCTGGTCTTAGCTTACCTTTCACTTGTTTCAGGTAAACAAAAAATTCTAAGACCTTTATTTTGACCCCAAATTTACAATTCGACGAAAATGGTCGATCTCAAGAAATAGGATAGCCTGAACTTGTTAAAAACCTGATAAAGTTTTTATCAGTAACATTTGAAATATGACGATGCGAATCACACATGCAGAGATCTTGCAAACCTTTGACACTGGCGTTCAGCGACTGTAGAAAAAACATCAAAAAAGTAATAATAATAAAAAACCTGGCCAAAGACTGGGGCAGACTATGACTGGGCCCTAGATACTTCTTCAATCATTATCCGGGACACTGACTCCCATCCGGTGTAAGCATCACCCAGGGTGTAGCTACTACACTGCCCTACCCATAATTCCACTCTAACTGCCCCTTGTGGAATGTTTTCACAGTACCCCTCAAATGACCGATGACGATGCAGATTAGGGTTCCCTGATAACCAGTCATTGTAGACCGCAGCCTCAATAGTCATTGGTCCACAACATTCTTTTCCATTGAACTTGAAATACCACCGATTACACTTTTGATCACCATTGACTCTCATGTTTCCCTGGAATGAGACTTTGAGCGCTGAATTAGACCTTAATTTGTTAAAAGCACAGTCCTGGAAAACAATCAAAATCTATTTAGTAACGTCTCTATTCTCGTAATAATAAATGGGAAGGAATTTACATTATCAACTGAAAGAGTTTAAACGGAGTGATCATCACAGGAAAGAAGATTTATCTTCTCAGA